AGTAGATTTTGTTTGTGAATTAAATTTGATACATTTTATTTTTGCTTCTAATGGAAATTGGTCAATTTATTTAGATCTTTCAATACCATACGATTACTTACAAAAAAAATGAAGCGGAAAAAATTAGATAAGATACAGTTTTTTTTTTAAATCATAAAAAAAAACTTTGTTCTTGCTAGAACTCATTATCAGTAATATTGAATTTTTTGTGAATAACATTAGCAATATAAGGTTATCTAAGTTATGTAAGGGAAAGGAACACTTCGTGGTTTTGGAAATCAGAATCAAGCTATAAGCAGATAATTTTCAAGGTACCTTATCTATTATGGGCTGTCTATAGGTCGGTTGTGTGTAAAATTTTTGAGCTCTTTATGCATGATTTCGGAAGACTGATTATACAATGCATGAATTATTTTGCCTAGCATTTTTAGGTTTAATTTCTTTGGATTTGACATGAGATTTGATTAGTAGAGCATCACAGATAAGAAATTTACATTTTGATTTATTATGCAGACAGGAGTTTGATTTTACAAACGATAAAGAAATATTATATAATTTCTTACAGAAATAAATTTATTAACAAAACTATTTGTCATCTGATTCGTATAATGTAGTTCTATCTTGTCTAATACTGTGACTTCGCCATAAATAAGATATTAGATTCAAAGTTGATCCCCCCACAACTCTAATTTGTACATCACATTTTTTACCCAACTTATTTAATACAAGTGCTATATGTAATATGTTTAGTTCTTTCTTCTGTAACTTTTTTTAATTCGAAATACTTCTATATATAGCTTCATTTTTTTGATCCACCTATGCATCCTAATCTTTCGGATGTTTCATTTTCGTTTACATCATTTGCATTTTCTAATACCAGAATATTAGGTTGGTCAGTAAATGGCTCATCGAATGACTGGACCAGTAGAAATGATAAACTGCCTTCTTCTATAATTTATATATAAAATCAGGGTTTGGCTTTATTAAAAAATTAATAAGGCACAAGATTAAATATATGTTTATAATATATATTTTAATAAGATTTATAATATTAGGTTAAATGATGATATGAAATATAGCACATGCGATGGCAACAAAAAGGCTCTTTATATTTCTTTTATATAATAGCAGTTCTTGATATCTTTTCGATACTTGTTACTATTATCTTTTCTCTGTTCTATATGAATTAGGGAAATGATAAGATTATGTATGGGGAACTATTCCACTTTCTGTAATATGCAGAATTCTTTATCGATTTTAACCTCACCTTATTTTTATGCAGCCAGTGAATCAATAAGATGTCGCAAAATAACTAGAGATTGGACCAGAGTAGAAATTACCATAGTATATTACCTGAAATATATTATAATCTATCTGGGACTTTCTCAATAGGCTTAATTTCTAATTATGTCATTGATATATTCTAAATGCACAACCCCCATAATTTTAAGGCTGTGATTAAGATTCATAAAAACCTCTGCTTAAACAATAGCATATATTGTATTATTGTTGAAATTTTTTTTCCTTTTGAATTGCAGTATATCTTAAGTAAATCTAACTTCAAAATATATATAGTATATATGGATTCTTTGGTGATAAGATAAATGTCTTACTAAAAACTGCAAAAAAGTTTATCATTCACAATTCAATTGAACTAAATTTGTATACTATGAATTAAAATATTTAATATATGATACTGAGTATACTGAGCATTTTGCACTTTTACTAATATGTGCATTGTATATTATACAGTATGTAGTTACTCAAAAATATGCAATATGTATTTAATAGTCATTTTTTATATACTGTCCCAAATACTGTTATAAATGCTATTCTTTAAACATACCTAAACTTTTTATAATACATGTTGACAAGAGTTAACTGATCGAAAATGGGGTACCAGAATTCTGCGGTACATAATTCTGCTTGCTCTAAAAATATTTTTTTGTAGTCTCCATAAGAAAAATATGACTTTAATCATTTTTAAAAACCAAATACAACACAAAAAGATATTTTTAGAGCGAGCAGAATTATGCACCACAGAATTCTGAACGCTCTAATTGAAAAGACAAGGAAGTGGTCAGGGTTACACATCATGTGCTATGACCTTGCCCAAAAAAATATCAGACCACATTAATACAACTATATAACAGAAAAGCCACTGATTTCAATCAACATATAAGGAGTGATGAATAAATCACTATCGATATTCTTCTCTTTTCCCTTGCAACAACCAAGTATTATAACCGTCATTTTTTTAACCCAACTCATCCCACCACACATAGGAGTCTCCTAATTCTGCTATTTTCCTATTTAACAGCTGGCCTGCTTCGAGCAGGCAGAAAACCACTGCTGATGCTGCTTCTCATTGGTCTACTGTTATAATGATACCTAGGCTCAATCTTACTTGCTAATTTTCCTGGGAGTATATCATCATTTCAGCTCAAATTACTCAGCTCAAATTACTCAGCTCAAATTACTCAGTTCAAATTACTTAGCTCAAATTGCTTAGTTCACTCACAATGTATTCTGCTAACTAATGTTTCGGGCAAAACCTAAATATTTTGCCAAATCTGAATCTGAAATAGGGTCGATATTGATTTCGCCGATTATACAAATTTTTGAAATTTCTGATACTTCTGAAAATGTACAATAAAATCCGTAATTGCTCATAGTTTAGGCTCAATCTGATATTGTATATATATTTAGTAATAAAAAAATCTTTGATTCTCCATTCTTTTTTTTAAAGGTATTAGAACCTGATTGATTACATATTCTTGCATCATTTGTTTTTTTGCTATTACGTGAACAAAATAAATTAATACTGGTTTATTACTTTTATTCAGTTTATGCAAAAAAAAAACGTTTTTGTAGCTAGCAGAAGTAATAATAAATGTGTCTTTCCAATAGAAGCTTCTAACACATGAAATTGTACAAGATTTCAATCTACAGAAAACTTGAAATTTTCTTAGTTATTGCTTAAAATGGCAGATCACAGCTACTACATACAATCTTCTGATTGTTGTCTGATTGTGTGATTGTAAGTTGTTTTTGAGAATATAGGTGTTGTTATCATAAATTATAAAAATATTTTATTGGTTTTTTATTAAAAGAATCACTACAATCGCACAATCGAATGACAATCAATTGACTGCACATGTGAACTGCAATCTGCAAATTTGATCGCAAACCGCGCTCATACAGTACATAATCGATTTCAAGTTAGTAATAAATTTAGAAAATTTCTAACTATCATATGAATGCAAACGATTATGTAAAATGTGATTAGTATAAATAGAGATATATAAGTGAAAAGAACAAGTAATAACAAGTTTAGCAAATCATAACCACCATAATGGTAAAGGCTATCATTAATCTTTGGATCTGGATCGCGAATTCTTCTAAAATCCAAACAGGTAATAACAAGTTAACAAACCTTAACTACCAAAATAGTAAAGGTTATTATTAATTTTTGGATCTGGACCGCAAATTCTTCTAAAATCCAATCCTGATGATAAAGAAACCTGTTTGGATAAGAGTGTGATTAAATATATATTTAAATTTTTACATACATTTGAACAACATTTTCACCTCCTAAGCGTGCATGTTAATTTGCGAATAATAAAAGGCTCCAAGGTTCATTTTTTATTTAAACACAGTAATCAATTATTATTTTTGATTCAAAATTTCTACTATATAAAGGATTGATTTTATTACCTTTTTTAAGAGATGCACGATCTAGTCAGAATTGTTTAACCCCATAACCCCACGGCATAATTTGTGCAAACCAGAAAAACCCAAATATGATACCGTAGATAAATTAACCATTACTAAAACTGAGATCTGAAATTAATAATATAGATTTTAAAGATTTCAAGTTTGATTTCAGAAAAGGAATTTAGAGCATTTTCATAAAATAAATTAGTATGTACATGTACGTACATGTGTTGCTTTTTTGTCTTATTTTTAAAAACAAACAAACGCTAATGAATGATAAAAAAAATTTTCAGGTTCAAGCAAAGAAATTTTTAAAAAATTTTCATGTGAATGGCAACAATTTTTTTTAAAAAAATGATCAAAACCTGTGCTTTATGTACTGTATTGCATTCAATATATTATAACATTATTACTGCATTAAGAAGTCTATCACGAAGGAATTAAATTTATAATGAACTAATTAAATATTGAATAAATATCTTTAAATATCGCAAGTTAATAATTCAGTTAAACGTGTTTTTTGAAATTCAAAATCACAATATGGCAGAAAACTCTAACGCTTCTTCTGTTAATCCAATTGATACGTCTATACGAAAATCTAGTGGTAAACCAAAGTCAATTGTATGGGAAACACATATTAAACAAGGGAAAGAAATTTCTAAAGGCCATTGGAGTGCGACATGCAACTATTGTAATGAGTTTTGGTACAAAGGCTCCCCTGCTTCCCTTGAAGCTCATTTAGGTAACTCATGTAATAAAGCCCCACCGGATGTTCGTAGCTTATTTTTAAGTCGATTAGCAACAAGAGAACTTGATGCATCAACATCAAAAAAACGAAAACTTAATGTTCAGTCACAACTTTCTGACTTCGTTGAAAGTACCAAGTTAACACCAGATCGTATTAAAGACATAAATAGAGCATTAGTAAAGGCATTTATTGTTTGTGGTGTCCCCTTTCATATTATTGAGAATCCATTTTTTGTAGAGTTATTAAAAACTTTACGTCCAGCATATGAGCCACCATCTAAAGATGTTCTTTCTGGTCGCTATTTGGCACAAGAAACAGCATTTGTTAATCAGGCAATGATTAAACAATTGAATAGTTCAAAAAATATGACTTTCGGTAAATTATTTATTTTAGTTACACTAATAAAACAGACCGATCTTATGCATTCATTAATAAGATCACTTGCAGGTTTATTTAGCATTACTAATTTTTTATTTTATTATTTAGCATGTGACGGCTGGAGTAATCCTTCTAACGAGTCAATTTGGAACTTCGTAATCTATACGCCAGACCGCTGTCAATATTTGTGGAGTCTTCAAAACCTGTCAAATGAAAGACATACACAAGAATTTTTGGCAGAAGAGATTACTAATATTTTAGAAAAAATTGGTCCAGAAAAATTCTCGGCTATTGTAACAGATTCAGGTGCTAATATTAGGGCCGCACGTCGTATTATTACAGAAGAATATCTAACCATTTTAAATATCCGATGTATCTCTCATGCTATAAACCTTATTTCGAAAGATATTAGCAAAACATCATTCGCGGATCGCATGCTTAAACGTTGCAAAACTTTGATTAGTTATTTTAAAAGAAACCATCTTGCAGGTAATTAAAAAGATTATTTGAAAGTGTGCTGCCGGTATTCTAAGGTCTCTAGATCAAAATCAAAAAAAAACTTTATTTATTAATATAATTATAGGAAGTACTCTTAAAACTTTAGCTGAAGAAAATCTAATCGAAGGCGGCGGTCTTAAACAATGGGTAGATACTCGTTGGCATACTATGTACGATTGTGTATTCTCTGTTATAAGGCATAAAGTACCATTAGAAACAGTTAAGTTGAAATTTGTTATTTATTATAAATTGACCTTAATATAATAAATTTCTGAACATGATAACTGTAAATTCTGTTCACGATTATTGATTAATCGTGAAGATTCTTCACAATTGTTTTAACATAATAATAAAGTTGTACATGATAATTTATTTATTTTTTTTAATTAATTTATAGATTCGTAATAATAATCCGGATATTGTAAATACCTCAGTACAAGCAATCTTACGCACAAGAGCATTTTTTGATGATTTAAATGCTTTGGCATTTGTGCTTTATCCTATTAAAATTGCTATATCAACTCTTGAATCGCGAGATTGTTCATTAGCTGATTGTTTTATTGGTCTAGTTCGTTTGGGGGCGGCAATTAGGAGACTTCCAGAAAATGATTATCGTAATTTTCGCCAACAAGCAATTGCGATATATAATAGAAGGTTCGCTGAATTTGATGATGATGCATATATTTTATGCTTTTTTTTACATCCTGGATACACTGGTAAGCAGTTGTTATTTTGTTTACTGGTAAAATTTAAAAAATTCATCATTGAATAGCATGATTCGAATGCCACTCAAAACTGCCATTCGAACTGCCATTCAATACTATCACATGATTTCATGGACATGCATGTCCGCGAAGTCATGATAGTGTTGAATAAATGGCAGTTTGAGTGGCATTCAAATTGTGCCATTCGAATTGTGCCATTCAATGACGAATTTTTTTAAATTTTACCAGTGGTTGTAATTTAATCTATTTTTATTTATTGATAAATTTTTATTAATTTAGATGTAGTGTGGGCACGAGGAACATTTCGACGTATTCTTCTTGCAGCAGATAACTTCTATGAAAAAATGGGTAAAAAACATAAAGAAAGAAAAATGTTAATGTCACAAATGAGAAGTTATCGATACCGTACTGAGCCGTTTGATGTGCCTTTCGAAAATAATGAATCTCCTACGACGTGGTGGACTTCTCTTGAAGACAACTTTTTAAAAAATGAGGATCATATTTGCCAATTAGCTAATAAACTGTTCTCTATAACACCACATGCAGCCGGATGCGAAAGGATTTGGTCAACATTAGGGTGGTATTATGGCAAACGTCGTACACGGCTTTCTTTAAGTAAAATTGAAAATATGCAGAAGCTTTCTGCTTTTTATCTTGCAAATTCAAAAAAAGAACTACCGTATTTTTCCGTTAATAATGGTGCTGAAGATTTATATGAAGCATTATCTAATATAAATCTTAGCGATGATGATGACTACGATGAAGAACAAACCACCAGTGAAGTACAAGATGTGGAGTTTCCGGAAGAAGAAGCACTTAATATTGAGGAATTGTTGAATCTTGATGCGGCTGATTTTACAAATGACTTAGGTGAAATAGTTTTTAATACCAACTTCGAATCTTCTGAAGAGGAACATGGTAATGTTCAAATTAATGATGCCGAGAGCAATGTTGATGAGGAAAATTGGGATCCTGAAAAGGAAGTTGATACAATGTTAGATTAATCGATACTGTATACAATATGTATAAATCAATCAACGTAGTTCAATAAATACAAATTTTTCTGATTCTTTGATTCAAAATTAATAATAAAAAAAAAAAAGATTCAGAAAATTACTATAATCCATGAAATTTCTAAAATGAAAGTTGTAAATCAAATAATTATATTGCTGTCTGATGTATCGGGCATTTACAGTATAAAGACTTCAGATGTATAAATTTTTCGTTCAACTTCACAAAGTCTTAAGTTTTTACACTCTCTAAAGCATAAAAGATATTATAAACTAGTATTCAGTTCTCAAATTGCCCGGGTACAGGATCTTGCATCATATTTATTTATATCGGATTTATATCGGAAATATCGGAAATATAGGATCTTATCGGATTTAAATCAGACTTTCGTCTCAAATTCGGAATTTGGATTTCTTATTTCGGATCACCATGTTAAATCCGAAATGTTACGGAATTAAAAAACAATATCGCCCGAAACATTAGTCGGTAGTTTGACAAAAATACTTTATATGATATTATTGATAAAATCGCTAGATCAATCGATAACTTGGCCAAATATCTGATCTAAATTTTCACTTTTAGCCTCACATATTTCCTATTTATGTATTATGTCACTACATATCTGCATGGAAGCATTAATATAAATCAAAAGAGTACACCACGGGGTTATTAACCAAATTTAGACGTTAACGCGTTACCAAACCATTATCAGTTATAAAAGGTGCATCTGGTTTAGAAAGAATTTTAAATTTTTTTCTAACATTGCTAAAAAACATTATCTCAGAAGACGTAATACTGGCACCTCCATCTTTCCAACATGCTTTTTATGATTTTTTAAGAAATACAATTCTCATTTGCGACTTTTTCGTTTGGAGAATTCACAATTGCATTTGCCTGCCTGTGGACTTCTCGTTCGATCACGGTTTCACAATAATTTACGCACTCTTCAAAGGTTGGATACTTGGTCAACAGAAGAGTTAAATATGAGCAAAAAGGTATTAAATATTATTATTTATTTGTTTTTCTTTTTCTTATTAACGATTAATATAAGGTGTTTGATTATATGACTTGAACTACTCTATCGCTTTGTGCAAATTTCCTATATTATAAGATATCAGTTATTACACGACAATACGGTATAATAATCCTATTTTATCATTTATAATAGATTGTATCCAACCACAGGAGGAGCTTCGAAAGCTTCTTGATCCTTTCGACAACAAAGTTATAAGCATTATGTTAAGCCAGCCTCTTCAGATTTTGAAAATTTGTTTAAGAGATTTTATCAGAACCGAAAACGGTGGGAGTACGAGGTTAAATTATGGAGGGCTCTTTTAGATACCTCTGTAAAATTCAATACTATTAATGATGTTAACCAAAGAGCAATTGTTCTTGACTTGTTCTTTGGCTCTTTGGATAATGAATGTCCCCTAAACGTGGACAACATCAACTATCGACCTCCCATATACTTCGAGGTCGAGATTGCAGAAGCTGAAGATAATAATGGTGATAATTATGATTATGGAGCATTGGAGGGTTCCAGTGCGTATAATACCTTTCTACAAAAGATTATTTCGGTTTTGCTCGTATTAAACTAATGATTAATTCGTTTAATTTATTTAATATATTTAGCCAACATTGCCCGAGACGTACCTCCAATACCGGATTAATTTTCCAAACGTTGGCTGCTGGCTACAGGACTCACAAAGCTCTTTGGGGGTCCCTAGAGTATCTAGGAGACAGAGTCATTACGCCTATTAAAAGTCGCCAGGCAAAGATACGGGTACAGATACAGCTTTCGGGTTATAAGGGAAGGCATCGTCACCAATAAAATTTTGGCGGCGTTTGCTATTACGCTACTCCTTCCCGAGCGTAATGGCATAAACCAACAACGTGTAGCTTAACGTGTAACTTAAAAGTTACGCTCAATTTTGGGAAAGTTAATGATTATGATCGAGATCAACCCTTCTATTTTTTTTATGGGATATTTGTATTTAAAATTTTTTTTTTAATTTAATTTTTGCAAGTCGAAAATGTGTACCAGGTTGTGCTTCGGATGATCATGTGTTTGTCCGGGAATCAATCAAAACGAATATCATCGATTAATTAAATAAACTACTTCATATTTCGCTTTATATTTTTCGCTTCATATTTCGCTTCATACTTTGCTTTATATTTCGCTTCATACTTTGCTTTATATTTCGCTTCATATTTCGCTTCATATTTCACTTCATATTTCAAAAAATAAATAATAATAATAATAATAATAATGAAAACCGATTCATTCAACTTGTTGAATCACCTACTCTACTCCAAAAAATATTTCTATCTAACAATTCTTATAAAATAAAAAATTATATTGAACTTGAGCCAATAGTTAAATCTGAAAAAAAATAAATATTGGACAGTTTATACGTGGATCTTAACAGCAAAGAGGTGCCTCAAATTGATTAAGCGAATTCAGGAAATATCATGAAGTGGAGCAAAAATTCGAGTATAACCAGCATCAGGTCCAACGAAAAAAGCGTAAAATTTCTCAAGAAAATGTTGACCCAACTATCATGAAAGCACTTAAAAACTTTCAAAAAATTGTATAATTTATCAAAGAACATTAACACATGCAAACAAAATTGATAATAACATAAAAGTTTTTAAACGTTCATAATGTATACATATTATTATGTGTTGTAATATTTGCGCGAAGTACATAATTAATGAAAAGAAATATGCAAATTAATCGTGTGCTAAATCAAACTTCAAAAATTTCCGGATATTCATTCGGATCTTCACACGATAACCCGGAGCGCAACCTGGTACACATTTTCGGGTTGCGTAATTTTTTAAGTTAAATACTGTATTACTTTATTGATTTTCCTTTTACAGGTTTGTTCTGTGGGAAGAAGGTTTTGAAGAAGAATTTTGTTTAGAAGGAACATGGTGTAGGATGGTTCTAGACCCGCTATTAAAAATTGTTACACGTAGATTTAATGGAAAAAGTATTCGACAGTGGTATATATTTTTATTAAATGTTAAAAAAAGCGTAAAGTTTTGTTATTAAATAATTATTATAGGGGCGAAGCAAAATCATTGGCTTCGAATTTTCGAAAAGGAAACAGTGCAAGAAAACCAGACTTCTGGTTTATAGTAAAAGGTGCAAGAACCGCCCAAAAAATTTATTTTCTCCTTTTATAAATATCCAAAATAAGGCCCCCAATGATTTATACAAACTGTTCCGATTTGGGTGTGATTCTAAAGTAATGATGACCACTCAGCTAATTACAAATAACATTCGATACTTACTGTATCAGATTATGAAAAATTGTGGAAAAAGCTATACGATGTAGAAATATTCCTTCTTCAAGTATATGGTGAGTTTCATATCAATTGATCTTCATATCATCAACCATTATTTAAAATAAGGTTTGCATTGAATAGAAACAAATCTTAGGTTTTTTATAATGGATCAGCCTGGGCTCCCACTGTGTCGCGTTCGTAAAATTTTTGACTTCCAAATTCTTTACGATTACTCAGATGAAATTTCAGTTCTTTATTTTACACATGGTCTTTGGAAGATTCGGTTAGGTTTAGAAATACATAACGTGATAAATAATGTTTGTGGTGAAATACAAAGACAACAGCGAAAACCTCTTATTAATTCTTCTGGTGTTCCAGCTGAATTATCTGTTCGAGATTTTATTTCTTTTCCATCTCCATGATTACATGTACAGATATTTTTTAATTTTTAAAATCAAATGAGATTTTTTGATATTATTTCAATTAATATATTATTGCATTATTGATTTTCTTTGTTTTATTAATTGAAATAAAATAACAATATTAAAACATTTATTTTGAAAGATTGACTAAAACACTTTTCTAAGTGCATTTCTTGAACTACTGATCCAGATAACTGTGTACCCGATAACCCGAACCGAAAAAATACCAACTGGTTTGCGTTTTGACAAATAATAGACGGATCATCCGTTGTCAAATGGGTCACATGAGTGACAAATAGATGTGTCAATAACCAATAAGAATGCATGATTAAATCACAGGTCTATATTATAACTGTTCCAATCCATTAAGCATTTATAACTATGAGATATCCGGATCTGAATTTATTCGGATATCTATTTACTATTGATATCCGGATAATTATCCGAATACCTGTCTAATTAACATAAAGAATATTTTTTTATTATTTAAGTTCATAAATATTTATTGCTTTATTCACACTGATTTATAAAGAACATTATTAATCTAAGTATTTAAATAAGCTATTATTTCATGAATATAATACAATCGATAATTATAAAGGAATGAACATAACACGAATTAGAGTTGGCCTCGAAACGAAACCTACCCGAAACTAGTTTCGGAAGGTTCTAATTCGAA